ACTTGGGAAGTGATGGTCTGCCTTGAGTATGTGAAAATTAGTTTGGCCCTATAATTTTTCCCACAGTCTTAGACTGAGGCACTTAACTTTTGTTTTCAGAGAACAGGAAAACTGTCTTTTTTTAAAACTGAGGTATAATTGATATATAACATTAATTTGAGGTATATAACGATTCAATACTTGTATATATTACAAAATGATTACCACAATAAGTCTAGTTAACATGTCACCATAGTCACAAAATTTTTACAACACTGCTGTACATTATGAACCCATGACCCACTTATAACCCTAAGTTTGTATCTTTTGAACCCATGCACCTATATTACCCTCCCCTCCACCCCAGCAATCACCAATCTGTTCTCTGTATCCATGAGCTCAGTGTTTCATTTTGTTTGTTTTTTTAGATTCCACATATAAGTGAGATCATAAGGTATTCATCTTTCTCTCTCTGACTTATTTCACTTAGCATAATCCCTTCAAGCTCCATCCATTTTATCACAAATGGCAAGATTTCCTTTTTTATGGCTGAATAATATTCCATTGTGTGTATATACCACCATTTCTTTATGCATTCATCCACTGACAAGACATTTAGGTTGTTTCCATATCCTGGCTATTGTGAATAACGCTGCAATGAACATGGGAGTGTAGATATCTCTTCAACATCTTGTTTTCATTTCATTTCTGGATATATATCCAGAAGTGGGATTGATGGATATGTTAGTTCTAGTTTTACTTTTTTCAAGAAACTCCATACTGTTTTCCACAGTAGTTGCACCAATTTACACCCCCCCACCAATAGCACACAAGGGTTCCCTTTTCTCCACATCCTTGCCAACACTTATTTCTTATTTTTTTGATAATAGCCATTCTAATAGGTGAGGTAATATCTCATTGTGGTTTTGATTTGTATTTCCTTTATGATTAGTGATACTGAGCATCTTTTCATGTACCTGTTGCCCATCTGTATGTCTTCTTTGGAAAAATGTCTATTTAGATCCTCTACTCATTTTTTAACTGAATTGTTTGGGGTTGGTTTGTTTGCTGCTTTGCTTTTGTTTTTGTGCTATTGAGTTGTATGAGTTCTTTATATATTTTGGATGTTAACCCCCTATCAGATACATGATTGGGAAATATTTTCTCCCATTCTGCAGGTTGCCTTTTCATTTCGTTGATGGTTTCCTTTGCTTTGCAGGAACTTTTTAGTTTGAAGTAGTCCCACTTGTTTATTTTTGCCTTTGCCACCTTTGCTTTTGGTGTCAAATCCAAAAAAATCATTGCCAAGACCAATGTCAAGGTGCTCACTGCTTATGTTTTCTTCTAGAATTTTTATGGTTTCAAGTCTTATGTTCAAATCTTTAATCCACTTTGAGTTATTTTTGTGTATGGTGTAAGATAGTCCACTTTCATTTTTTTGCATGTGGCTGTCCAACTTTCCCAGAACCATTCATCAAAGAGACCGTCCTTTCTCCATTGTATAATCTTAGCTCCTTTGTTGTAAATTTTCCATATCTGTGTGAGTTTATTTCTGGGCTCTCAATTCTGTTCCATTGGTCTATGTATCAGTTTTTATGCTAATATCATACTGTTTTGATTACTATCGCTTTGTAGTATAGTTTGAAATCACGAAGTGTGAGGCCTCCAGCTTTGTTCTTCTTTCTCGATTGCTTTGGCCATTCAAGGTCTGTTGTGGTTCCATAGAAATTTTAGGATTGTTTGTTCTATTTCTGTGAAAAATGCCATTAGAATTTTGATAGAGATTGAATCAAATCTGTAGATTGCTTTGGGCAGTATGAACATTAATTTAATATTAATTCATCCAATCCACAAACATGGAATCTCTTTCCGTTTGTCCTCATCAATTTCTTTCATCGGTGTTTTATAGTTTTCAGTGTACAGGTCTTTCACCTCCTTGGTTAAATGTGTTCTTGGAGATATTTCTTTTAGATGCAGTTGCAAATGGGATTGTTTTCTTTTTTTTTTTTTTTTTAAAGATTTTTTTATTTTTTCCTTTTTCTCCCCAAAGCCCCCCCAAATGGGATTGTTTTCTTAATTTCTCTTTCTGATAATTCATTATTAGTGTATAGAAACAATAAATTTTTGGATATTGATTTTGTATCCTTCAACTTTACTGAATTCGTTTATTAGTTCCAACAGTTCTTTGGTGGAGTCTTTAGGGTTTTCTATATATAGTATCATCCTATCTACAAACAGTGACAGTTTTACATCTTTTCCAATTTGAATGCCTTTTTCTTTCTTTTTCTTCCCTAATTGCTCTGGGTAGGACTTCGAATACTATAGTGAACACAAGTGGTGAGAGTGAGCATCCTTGTCTTGTTCCTGATCTTAGAGGAAGAGATTTTAGCTTTTCACCGTTGAGTATGATGTTAGCTGTAGGCTTCCCATATATGGCCTTTATTATGTTGAGATATGTTCCGTCTATACACACTGTTAAGAGTTTGTATCATGAATGGATGTTGAATTTCGTCAAATGCTTTTTCCGCATCTATTGAGATGCTCCTAAGATTTTTATCCATTTTGTTAATGTGATGTGTCACCTTGATTGATCTATGGATGTTGAATTCCTTGCATCCCTGGAATAAATCCTACTTGATCGTGGTGTATGACCTTTTTAATGTATTGTTAAATTTGGTTTGCTATATTTTGTTGAGGATTTTTACATCTATGTTCACCAGGGATATTGGCCTGTAGTTTTGTTTTTTTGTGGCATCCTTGTCTGGTTTTGGTATCCAGGTAGTACTGGCCTCATAAAATGATGTGGAGTGTTTCCACCTCTTCTACTTTTTGCAACAGTTTGAGAAGGATAGGCATTAATTCTCCTTTAAATGTGTTACCTTCCAAAGGTTTCTCAACCTTTTAGGAGTTAGTGAGATCAAAACCATTTTCACAACATGTTATTTGCCTTTTTCAGTCTCACTCTTTCAAAGTTCCAGATGTTGTATAACATGTGATGTTGCAACTGACTGAATGCAGATGCAGATAAGAGAATCTAGGAATTCTCTATTAAACCAGACAGCAATGACCTAAACTGGAAATATTGTTATTTATCTTTATATATAAAAATATAAAACAATCTCACTCTTCTAATTGTTTTGCAAAATAGTTACATTTTCATTAAAAATGTTACTTATGTTAGCAATGTGATGGTTTATCATTTTTAAATTAAATTTTTAAAGTTTGTTGCAATTTTGAATACACTAAATACGGATAGATGCAATCCATATAAACAAAAGCTCTTTTGGGGTCCACAATAATTTTCATTAGTATAAAGGGATCCTGAGACCAAAAAGTTTGAGAATTTTTGGAAAGGACAAAAAACAGTGGTAGTAATAAGAATGAGATGGAAAAGATTAAAAGAAGATATTGCAGAGACAAAATTGATGGGAGGTGGACAACCAATAAATGTGGGGGCAAAATGCAGAAATAGACAAAGAGGAATCCAAAAGTTCAACCTAAAGGACTTGGGAGAATGACAGATTAAGAGATAAGGAAACCAAAAAGATCAGAGTTTGGAGGTGACAAGAATTCAGTTTTGACACAAATGAAATGTCAGCCAAGCAAAGTAGAGATAAATAAGAAAATGAAATATATAAGGGTTAGGATACAGTTTGATGCTCATGTTGTAGGAAAGACCAGGTTGTTTTGGTATCTGAGATAACTGAGCATCATCTCAAGCAAAAAAGATGTATCTAAGCATTACCTCATGGTAATATATCGTCAATCACTTGCCCCCAGTTCCTTGGTGGAAGGCTGTTGCAGTGTCTTCTGAAAACATCTCTTATACTGCCAATTCGGGAAGCTTCTGGGTTACATTTATTTTTACTAAGTGATTTTTATACTTTCTTAGTCTTGACTAAATTGCTACAGACAATTAGAAATTTCTAAGAGGCAGCCTGGTGAAGTTGTGGGGGAACCATACTGAAAAGACAGAAGACTTCACTCTCATTAGTCACTTTCTCTGGAGTACACTCTCTCCAATTTATAAAATGAAGAGAATATGTGAGGTTAATCTATAATGATTCCTCAGATCCAAAATTTTATGAAATGGCTATCAACCCCCTTACCATGAACACATATTCTCCAATCTCCAAAAGAGTTACAGAATCAACCCAGATATTAACCAGCAATGCCTTTCTCAACTGAGTGTATCGACATTGTTGTTCCTATATAAAGTAAGATCGTCTTAAATTTATTTTAAAAGCCCCCTCTTTAAAACTTTAAGAGAAGTCCTGGATCCTAGTAGTTCGTCAGCAAATTTGACTTTACCCTGACTGGTAGACTTCTTGATTTTCCAATTTTAAGCATATTCAGCTCTGACACCTGCATACTGCCCCCCCCGCCCCCAATTCTCCATCTACCCATCACCTTTCCAGGCTAAAGAGTTCTACAATTGTTTTGGTCAATCTTAAAAATATCTCCATCCCACTAATCCTTTAAAGTGGCCATTTATAGATTTTCTTCAATTCTATTAAGTCTTTCTGGAAGTCATAGGATTAAAGATGAATTAATTATTGCAGGCAGGATAATGGTATTGTTAAGGAAAAAAACCCATCACTTTCCTGGGCTTTTTGGTGGCAATGTATCAGTTTGCTATCTTCATGGAATCATTTATGAATTATAGTTTATAGCAGTGCTTATTTTTCATCTTACCAGCAAAATAATTATTTTTTTCCAAATGAAATTTTATATAATATTCACTATATAAAACAGGTCATAAAGTGCAACTGCTCTGATTGAGGCTTGTAATGACCTAAAGCCCCACAGACTCAGTCAGCCATTGTCCCTCCTTCACATCCCATCCAAAAAAAGGCCCTTTGGGTGCTTCCCAGGCAGCATGGGGTACACCATGAAAATCATCACTTTTGTAGCATCTTTAAATATTAAAGATGCCAATATGCATGGAAGAATCAAAGCTTCAAATGAAATAAATCAATTACTGCAGAAGGCCTCTTTACTGCAACATCAGTAAAACATTATAAAGTTAATTTCTTCTCAATTTACTCAAACACATAGAATATTAAACTTTTCACAAATGCATTTTAGGAAAACTGCCCTTTCTTAAGCAAAGAATAGATACAGCATCAACTTAAACACTGGCTATAGTATATAATACGAGGAGGAATAATCAGTAATTCCTCCTATAATAGATGTTGACATACTACAAGATATCAAAAAGACATTAGCAGTGAAATGGATCAAGATTATTTTTTATTGCACATTTGCTTACAAGTTTGCTCCTTTTGAGTAGAGCTAAACCTCAAGTATTGAGTTAGTTTCAGCCACATTTCCATCAACTGAATTATAGCAATGAATTGCGTGTATGTTCCCCTAGGCTTATGTTCCAGAAACTAGAACATTAACCTTCCCAATTTGTCTAGGTACTGAGCACGGATTTTAACATTTATTTTTAAAGAATTTAATGACTCCAAAACAAACTGAACAGCATACTGTAAAGAAAACATTATGTCTATTCAGATAACCCAGGCTCAGAGAATTACTGACTATATAATATTGTAAAGGTAACTATAACCCAACCTTCTTCCAAACTATTCCATTACTGTATGTATAATTAAGCATTTATTTTAGAAAACTTTTAACACTTTCAGATATTGATTCTCTCACAATTAGGCTTTTATACGGTCTCCCTTCCTCACCAAAAATACCACCAACAATGACTCCAAATCTTATAAAGGAACTATTATCTTGGACTAAGCTGTTCAGAATGGTGTTCATATTTCCTTTCCACTGTACTCCAGTTTAATGTAAAATGGAGAATGTGCTGTCCAAACTGAAATAATATGGCAGTTCAAGCTTTAAACAGACCTAGAACATTCATAGCCTGATGAAAAAACACACAAGAATGGAGACATAACTATTGAAGCAAATACAGAATTTTGGCCATTAATGGATCAGAAATAATAGCTAATGCACCTACTTTAAGCTTATCAATGTCACATTAAAAAGCAAGATTTTGCCACATATTTGGCAAAATTTTCTAAATTATTTATCCCCATTCTCAAATGGAAAGTTATTTTTAATTGATCACTCTTAAATTGTACACTTCAATCACTCATGATTTCCTTTTAAGACTATTCAGAAGAAATAATTCTATTTAAACTTAACCTAGTCAGTTTTTCCTCTCACACATTTTTACATAAAAAGTTACTAAAATCATAATTCTGAAGAATTTCTGTTTAATCAAACATTATATGCTTAAACTGCAGCAAAGAAATTAGATCCTTTCTTATTCTATCTATAGTGATCTGTTACCAAATTTGTAAGAACTCTTTTCCACAGCTTTTCTTTCATGATTTATAAAAAATACATCTCAAGTCCACGGCGAACTAGCATCCATGCTTATTCCACATAGGTACTGCCAGTGGTCCCTGCGGTGTCCTTTCAACAATGACAAACTCATCAGGGTTGCCGAATGCCTCATAGAAAACCAATAAATCTTGTATCGCGTGCTCCTCAATCTGAAAGGAGGGAGGAAAAACAAGAAGACTTGCTTTACTCTTTTAATTACAAACTAAGCAGAATTATATCAGCGTTCCAATTTCCTTTTGTAGAACTACCACTTTCTATGAATACAATACAGCAGAATTAAATTAAGTATCGTGCTACCCTCTTGGCAAGGAGAAGGCTTGAGGCCTAAGCTACAATAATCATAGCCACTTTCTCTTGAATTTTAATTCTGAGCAGAAGGAAAAAGAAACTGAAAATAGTTGTTGGAATCCATTCATTCCTATAGCCTCACTCTGTGAGATACTTTCTGTTATTGTACAAGTCTTTTAACTCTTGTTTCTAAGCTCTCCAGGGCAACTATGGGTCTTGTCTGTTTCCAAGCCTGGCTCTCCGGTCTTTCAGCTAAGTCTGTGAAATCTTAACATCCCTCTAATAAATTCTCTTTTCTTTAAGTTAGCCAGAGTTCGTGTCTGTTGCTCACAACTTAAGAACTCTTACTGATACAGAAGCCCAATGTAGTACTAGATAATGTGAAGTTCTCTACTGGCCACTTAGCTTTTTCGTTCCCTTGCTTTAAAATAGTTTCTCTTTCAATCAACACCCACTAGGACATACCCAGTTCTTCTATGGCTATTAGTCAGGCATCTTGAAAAATCTATTTACTTGTTTTTTTTGTTTTTATTGACTTTATCTCAACTGAAAAAAACAAAAGCAGTTCACCCATTTCTCCCACCCCTTACACTCCACCTCCGGCAACCACCAATCTGTTCTCTGTATCTAGAAGCTTGGTTTTTTTAAATTTACTTAATGGACACTTAAGTTGTTTCCATATCTTGGTTATTTTAAATACTGCTATAAGGAACATGGGGGTGCACATATCTTTTCAAGTTAGTGTTTCTGTTTTCTTTGGATAAATACCCAGAAGTGGAATTCCTGGATCATAAGGTAGCTCTATTTTTAATTTTTTGAGAAACCTCCAAACTCTTCCATAGTGGCTGTACCAATTTACATTCCCACCAAAAGTGCACCCCAAGGGTTCCCTTTTCTCCACATCCTTACCAACCCTTGTTATTTCTTGTCTTTTTGATAACAGTCATTCTAAAAGGTATGAGGTGATTATCTCATTGTGGTTTTGATTTGCATCTCCCTGATGATTAACGATTTAGAGCTTCTTTTCATGTACTTGTTGGCCATCTGTATTTCTTCTTTGGAAAAAATGTCTATTCAGATCTTCCGTCCATTTTTTAATAGAACTGTTTGGTTTTTTTGCTATTGAGTTGTATGAATTCTTTATATATTTTGGATATATATGATTTGCATATAGCTTATCAGACAAATAATCTGCAAATATATTCTCCCATTCAGTAGGTTGACTTTTCATTTTGTTGATGGTTTCCTTTGCTGTGCAGAAAGTTTTTAGTTTGATGTAATCCCAATTGTTTATTTTTGCTTTTTTTGTTAGATTAAAAAAACCATCGCCAAGGCCTACGTCAAGGAGCTTACCGCCTATGTTTTCTTCTAGAATTTTTATGGTTTCCGGTCTTACATTCAAGCCTTTAATACATTTTGAGTTAATTTTTATGGTATAAGATAGTGGTCAAGTTTCATTCTTTTGTACGTGGCTGTCCAATTTTCCAAAAACCCATTTACTGAAGAGACTGTCCTTTCCCCATTGTATATTTCTTGGCTCCTTTGTCATAAATTAATTGACTATATATGTGTAGGGTATTTCTGGGCTCTCTACTCTATTCCATTGGTCTATGTATCTGTTTTATGCCAATACCATAGTGTTTTGATTACTAGAGCTTTGTAATATAGTTTGAAATCAGGAAGCGTGATGCCTCCAGCTTTGTTCTCCTTTCTCAAGATTGCTTTGGCTCTTCTGGTCACTTTTAAAAACTAAAACAGTCCAAAGCATCACCAGAGCTAAAAATATTAGCTTCATCACAATTTATTAGTTCTAAATTAATTATCCTGAATACCTTCAATACTTCAACTGCTGAATGCCTCAGTTTACTTTCATATTGCATTTACATTTTAACGTGATAAATATATGTACCTATGCAGAGCAAACAAACATAATTTTCTTAAGGCATGTTAATTTACCTGAATCAAAGCCAAGGGTTTTTCCCGACTTCTGATAAGAGCTGCTTCCTGTTGTAGTTCTTCCTCTACGATAGACGCGAAAGTGACGGGGGCTACCAGGGAAGGAGCAGTCAATGAAGAAGATAGCCAGGGACTGAAAGGATAGTAATAATGAGTTTTCATTGATCTTCTCAAATTTTTGCACACAAAATCTTCTCTGAAATACTCTTTAACAGTGTTACATTTTTTCCCAGTGACCTATAATATAAGGGGACTTGGAAGCTTTTGTGCTCCATTTACATAATGACGTGGTGAGAAACAGAAAAAAGGAGAATTAATATTTTATTTGGATCAGTGTTGTAGGGAAAACACCAAAAAGTGGGATGGAGCAAAAGCAATATTTCTAAACAGAACAGTAACTCAAACTGTGGAGCAGAGAGGATTCAGAGAATACATCTTATTCAATATCATACTATTCCCAATTTCTTAATATTCTCCTTTCAAGGGGAAGGAGGAGGGCAAAGGGGTGATTAGGCACACATGTGTGGTGATGAATTATAATTAGTTTTTGGGTGGTAAACATGATGTAATCTAGAGAGAATTCAAAATATATTATGATGTACACCTGAAAGTTATATAATGTTATCATCCAATGTTAGTGCAATAAAAAAACTAATTAATTAAAAAAATTTATATATAAAAAAAATTTCTCCTTTCAGTGCTAAGCAACAGCCCAACTTTGGAGGCCCCAAAGTTAATCAATTAATCTTACTTGGGACTGTCCAGAAGTGGTACATCTGAAATATGGTTGCCTTCTGGTCCTGGGGTACCATAAGTAGAGCATCTGAAAAACAAATGCCAAAATTGGTGATTAAGGCTTCTAGTAATGTTAGTAAAATTGCTTATTAATAGAAATACAGAAAAGAAATTTTAAGTCCCTGACTGAGGAGACAAATTAATGTGTGCAGTCAGACTTACCATTAAAATTACAAGTAAATAAAAAAATCTATAGGTAGTTATAAAATCTTGTGTATAAAATACCACGGGGGAAGATCTTGCAATAAATGATCTATTGTTTTCTAGTAATATTCATATAACCATATATTATAATCAAACATACACTAGGAAATACAATTTTGTTAAGAATGTTTTACATTAATAATATTTTATGAATAAAAGTGACAAATTAGTATTAAGTTTCAAAATATGTAGAAACCAGATAATTAGCAGCCAAATTTTGTGAGTGACTAAAATATAATGAATATTTTGATAAGCCAGGGATTACAGATAGGACAGAAATATAAAACATGATCTCTATCTTCTAAGAACGCACAAACTAGATGTGGAAACAACATACAAAATGACATAGAATGTGACAGAAAAGAATTTCAAGACAGTAGCTGACAAACTGAGGTCTAGTGACTGTAAGGACTAAAAAAATCAAAAAGATTTGGTCTTTTGAGAGGGCCTCATGGAAGGACAATAAAAGGGGCGTAGGATGAGGGGGTTGGATGCATTCTTGTAAGGGGAAAAATTAACTAAGATACTCTAGAGACTGGCCTAACGGTGGAATTTTAGAGTTAGAAAGAACCTAGAGATTATCTAGAGTAATCCAGTGCCCTCTCAGCAATGAGCAAATTCAGACCTAGCCAGGGTTAACAACAGAAAGTCAGAGAGTGAACAGAAAGGGCCTAAAACATTGACATCCCAATTCATTTATTCATATTTATTGGATATGTGTCAGCATTCTCATGCTATAAAACTCAGTTCCCTCTCCTCAAGAAACTCTGGTAGGAGAGATTTAAAAACCTATTTAAGCAGTGATAAAACAATGTGAGAGTACTATAACTGATATCTATACCAATCTGTAAATAGTACTATGGAGTCACAGGAGAAACTAACATAATATGGAAGAGGACCTTTGCTGTTGGTTTCACTGAGGAACGACATTAAAGCTCAGGAGAGTGGCACTGAGATAGGGTTGTGGTTATACAAATACATGGAATGGTAAAAGATTTTGGTGGCTTAAGTCAAAGGAGGCTGTTCTCTTCAATAAACAGAATGACTGGATTAAGAATATGGAAGAGATTAAATGGGGAAATAAAGTTAAAATGAAACAGTAGGGCCAGAGTACAAAATGCAGTGAAAGCTAAAATGGTTAGACCTGACGTGTGGGTAAACAAATTTACTGAGTATTTTCATATACATTATCTCATTTCACCTTTGTAATAGTCTGTGAAGAAAACATTTATTATTTCCATTATACTGATTAGGAAACTAAGACACAAAGAATATTACCTAATTTGTTTGATTCACAAACTGAGTAAGCAGCAGAGAGAGAACTCAAATACAGGCCTTTTTAATTCAGAGTGCAGTATTTTTCCATTATCACAAAGCTGCCTTTATTTCTACTATTCCCCTTAGTCTAGAATACATTTCACTACAAATGTCTTCTCATTCTTTAAGGGCTAGCTCAAATATCACCTTCTCCCTGCTCCTATAGCACTTCAATTTCTATTATAGAGATTTACACACCGTGTTCTCATTGTTTACACATCTATCTTAATCGATAGACTAGTCTCTCAACGTACAGGACTATGTTTCCTTCATTTCTGTATCTCAGTGTCCAGCAGAACACCTGGTACATAGCTGTTTGTGAAAAAATAATTAGAGAATAAATAACTGAAGCAGAAAGCCAAAGGATTTTAAGTATGGGATAAAATAAAAGCAGAGGTTTTTTAAAAATTCCTTATTCCTTTGAATTACTGGTAACTTTTTTCTTCCAGATGTAGGTACTGATAGACAAAATAAAATGAAAATAGGTATAGTTGTAGGGTTATCGGCTTTAATGAAGTTCTATGACTTGAAATCTGCTGGATACCTGACCTGTGACATCCAAAATAAGAGAAATCTCCAGGATGAAGTAAAAGAAGGCTTCTGGTCAGGACAAAAAGGAAGCCAAGGAGATGAACTAGAAAACTGTCGGGATAAACCTGTTAACCTGTTATGAGATGATGAGAATCTAGACTGGAATGACTATAAAATAAATGGAAAAATTCTACATTCTGCTGGAATAAGGTAATTTAGACAGAGAGTAAAGGCAAATTCCCTTAGGTAAGTTCCTTGAAAGGTCCTAAAGTCAGTCCAAGGCTAGAGATTAGAGGCCTTCTAGGGCATTCAAGCGTAACACAGAACAAACACAAATAACTTAAGTCGCACTCAAAATCATCCTGGGGATCAGCTAAAGTGTTCTGACACTTTCAAGAAATGCAAAATTATGTAGAACCAATTATTATTTAATTGCTAAGTAAGAAGCAGCAGCTAAAAGCTCTGTCTTCAAAAATGGCATGTCATTGGTTAACAGAATAGAATATTAGAATTAAAGTACCTTATACAGGCCTTGTGAAATCAAAGTTAAGCAACTGAAGCTTAAGTATAACAACTTTTCTATGTAACATTTTACTGTTTATAAAGTACTTTGATATACATTATCTGATATAAGCCTTATAATAAACCTGTATGATAGGCATTACTGTTCTCATTTCGTATATGATGAAACTGAGGTTCAGAAAGGTTCACAGAGGGCTACTATAAGCATGAGCCTGAAACTCAAATCTGTTTCACAGGATTATAATCCTAGAATTTTTTCCACTAATGATTTGTCAATGGATAATCTCATTAATTAAAAATTTACTCAAATAACTCAAAGTCTGTCAAAACTTCATCTTATAATGAAGCAAAATTGTTAAATAAATTAGAACTATGATTAAACAAATATCGAAAACATTCTAAGCTTTCAGATAATAAATATAACATCATTAAGCTTTCGATATTTGCAATACAGAAATAGACATCCCAACAGACAATCTGTATAAAATTTAGCCTTCTGAAAATAAAAACAACATAGAAAGGTTGGCTAAAATCTTCTTTCAAGGATATCTGTTCAAACTGAAAAACATTAATCTTGCTGAATTTAGACTTAAGAGAACAACTAAATTACTTTTTGCTCAGAGTTGGCTTTTTATTTTTTAAAAGGATTTTGTATTAGCTTAATTACAAAGATTTTTATATAAGATTAGAACTGATATAACGATTTTGCCTCACGTAGTTTTTCTTACTAATCAGAAACACAAGATTACATTTTCTGCCCAGTATTATATAAGGGGGTATTTAAGCAAAAGGAAAATGAAAGTAAACACATTAAAATGAAGAAGAACGCATAAGTAACGATAAACAAACAGAAATTGCATAAATCCCTCTTTTCTACATCTTAACATCCCCAAATAATACTGCCATTCTTGGATTTCCCTAGCGCTGGGGTAAAAAGAATATCACATTTTCTACAATTAAATAATGAATGTATAGTTTGTGGAATTTCTTGAGATGAGACCCCCAACTCCTACCACCTCAATTCCCTAAAGGACCATAAACATTCCTATCTTCTTGCTTTAATTCCTACTATTTCCTTTGTTTAAAACAACTGCCCTTGCTCTTCTCTTCTTTTATAAATCTCATCCTATGTTCAAAAGCTTGTAGTAATGAAATGGATTAGTATTTTTTCTAATATTATTCATATGGCCATTAATATAATGACCAAATATTTGGGATTGGATATGAAAAATGTTTATGAACTAATACTCAAGCCCTTCTTCTTCAATGAAGTTTTCCCTGACGACTCTAGCCATGGTCATTTTTCCCTTCTCTGAACCACTTATCTGGCACTTGATCTCATATTGCTTTGTGACTTCCTTAATACTCTTATGTTGTACTGTAATTTCATTCTTGTTCTGTCATTTTACTTCAATGTGTGCATATTTAGACTTAGCAACTAGATTTCAAAACACCTTTAAGACTAGGCCTGTGTATTATATTTTTATATATACCCAAGAGAGGCCAGCAGAATGTTGTGCATATATCAGGCGTCCCATATATTTGGTGAATTAATAAATATTTTACATTATCTGTTATGTTTTATTTACTTTAAAAAAAAGCTCTCTTATGATTACATATTTTCTATGATGAAATCAAAAAATGAAATTCAAGCTGTCTTCTTTCTCAGTGATCAGGTGATAACACACAGCTATTTAAAACATTAACTTCCACCTACCACTCTAGCTATGAATGATATTATACTATCATACACTGCTTTAACTAAAATTTCCAAAGCAGTATAATAGCACAGAACACTTTTCACAATTAAGAGTCCTGATGTTATAGCACACTCTAGTGATCAACTATGAAACCACAGATCCTTAATATTTTAAGAGTTCCTTGACAAATAAAAATATTTATCCAAAGAACATAAGAAAATTTCAATGTATAGTGTTAATATTTAAAATATAAAAATATTTTTTAAATGAACTTAATTTTCATACCTTAAAATTACATCTAAGGCATACAATATAACTTACTACATTAGAAATAAATGTTACTTGAAACAAAGCTACAATTTTATTTTATTTATGCATCCCAGCATTCACCAAAAGCCCCCTGGGCACCTACTACATGCTAGGAAACATCTTAAGCATTGGTGATGCAGTGATGAGCAGAGATCAATCTGCCTTGCTCTCATTGAACATATAACTGAATAAACAGACATTAAAATACTTGTAGTCGAAAATATTAAACAAAGAACCACATTAATAATAGCTGTGAAAAGTACAATGAGTGAGAAGTGCTATGAGAACATGTTAACAGGAAACTGACCCAGTAAGGGAAGTCAGAGTTCAAGAAGATGACTGAACAGAGACTGAAAGAAGAGTCAGAGTCAACTAGTCAAAGGATAGGTGGATAGAAGAAGTAAAAGGCATCTGAGAAATGAAGAGAAGGCCAAAATAGCTAGAATATAGATATCATGTTAAAAGATAAACCTAAAGAGGTTGGAAAGAGCCAGACTAGGTAGGCCTTGCAGGCCATAAAGAATTCTACCTTTTATCCTAAAAGCAGTAAGATCTGCATTTTAAAAAGAACACAACATATCAGCTCAATATACTGGAGGAAAGCAAGAAAGGCTATGGTGAGACCAGTCAGGAGGCTTACTCAGGTGGCCCAGGTGAAAGATCACAGTAGTCTGAGGAGGGTGATGGCAGTGAAGATCAAGTTTAGTATTTGGATTTGAGAAATATTTAACAGATAAAACTGGCATGTCCTGATGACAGACTGGGTATTGGAGAGGAAGATGGATGTGTCAAAGACTTGTAAATGCCATTTACCAAGGAAGAAAAATCAGGAAGAATGGGCTGTTTTATGTTTTGTTTTGCTTTTTTTTTAAAGATTTTATTTTTTCCTTTTTCTCCCCAAAGCCCCCCAGTACATAGTTGTATATTCTTTGTTGTGGGTCCTTCTAGTTGTGGCATGTGGGACGCTGCCTCAGCGTGGTTTGATGAGCAGCGCCATGTCCGCGCCCAGGATTCGAACCAACGAAACACTGGGCCGCTTGCAGCGGAGCGCGCGAACTTAACCACTCAGCCACGGGGCCAGCCCCCGGGCTGTTTTATGTTTTGTCTGTATGATTGTTTGACTTTGGTTTTATGAGAAGAGTATGAGGTAAACACTAAGTTTGGTTTTGGACATAAAGTTTAAGGTGTTTCCGAACATCCAAATAGGATGGCGATATCAAGCAGGCAGTTGGGTAATCCAGTCTGAAGCTCAAGAGAGATGTGGGCAGGCAATATAAACTTTGAGTCTTCACTGTATGGCTGATAATTGGACATAGACGCTCATGAAATGGACAGCATAGAAAGAATATAAAGTGAAATGAGCAGCTGACTTATAATTGAACTTCAAGTAATAATAAAAATAAAATAAAATAAAAATAAAAAGTCCACAGTGTTGGCAATATGGAGGTCACTGCTGAACTTAGCCTGAACTGCTTCAGTTTAGTAATGGGACTGGAAGGCAAAACGGATTAAGAAACGAGTGGGAACTGACAGCTCGTTTGAGAAATCTGGAAGTGAAGGGAGTAGGGAATGGGTAATGATAGGACATGTGCTAGAAGAAAGTGTGGGTGTTGAGTAAGGGACTGATCACCCCACCTAGGCTGCATGAGAGAGACCTGAATATATTCAAAACCAGATGAGAAGAATCTACTTTAAAGAAAAACACTGAATATCCACAAGAAAAGAGAGGGATAATTAATAGTTTAAGGTTTCTGAATTGGAAAGGAGTTAAGATATAAGCACAGGTATAAATACTAGCTTTAGATACGAAGGATAACTCTTCTATTGCAGAACAAGAAAGGATGATAAGATGAATACAAACAGAGGCAGATTTGTGTTTCTCATAGTACGAAAATAAAGAACTTACATATCTTTCTATTTAAAAGCACGTTCTATGGGACATCTCTCATCATACAACTTAGAAAACCAATGGTATTCTTACATCAAAAAGACTATACTATATTAAGTTTTTAAGAATACTGTAATAGATGTAGGGTCATTACAGAGGATAACAACCAATTTAAAAAATTTTATAATTCAAAAAGATTTGTCTGGAATAGAAAAACCTAATGATAGGTTTTATAGTACCTAGCGTTAATGTCTGATACAAAGCAAATGTCAATTTTAAGACTACAAATGTCTTACACCCAATTTTGTATTTATGAGCCTATCAGAACAGGCTTAATATTATCACTTTATTATAAGTAAACATTACATAAAAAGGTTTATCTGCTTTATAGGTTGAGTTTCATTTAAGATTTTTATTTTAAAGTATCACTCCACTGCTAAAAGTATTTGAAAAGTCAGAGAGACCAGATGACTTCTTCAGATCCTTTCTGATCTCTGATTTTTTGTATTATAAGTAAATGGCTCAAGAACTTTGGTCACAAATGTACAGTCTGTAATAAGGAAGCCAGTCACAATATCAACAATAAAAATATGTTTAAACAGTTCATCTAAACCAGCAATTTCCAATGGTGTTAGAAGACTTTGACAGTTCCTCAGGAGCTGCCTGGCGGGGGGGCAGGTAAGGTGAGGTTAAACTAGTATAGCTCCTAAACTCCTCTCCATGCTTCAATCAGAGAAATTTATATTATCTGTTTGATATACTGAAATTGGATATACAATTCCATTTTTAAAAAGGTTTAGGGAAAAAAAAAACCAGGTTTGATAACCACTGAAAAAGGGTTTATTGTTATGTAAAATAAAATATAAATCTAGTCACAAATGACATTTTTAATTACATTTTTGTTTTGCCTAAAACACTCTAGGGATTAGTATCTTTGGGAGATGTGATACTAGCAGAAATAAGGAAAAAAATCTCCATTTAATCAACCAACTTGAAACACGGCTTTTTGTTCCAACATTTACCTATCTAATGTCCAAGAATGCTCCCTTTTGAACAATGATTAAGAGAATTTACATACCATGGTGGGGAAGCTATTTTTATTAAAATATTGCTTTTAAATTATGTTTAGATTTTCACGTTTCACATAGGCATTTAAAATATGAAACATCTCTTTAAAATATATTGCACTTTAAAAACCAGTATCAAAAATAGCTAGAGAAAAAACTGGAAACATCAAAGGTCCATCAACAGATGCAGATAAATAGATTATTTCATACCCATACAATGAAATACTACTCAGCAATAAAATAGAATGAACTATTCATATACAGAAACAACTTGGATGAATCCCAAAATAAATGCTGAGTAAAAGATAAAAAAAAAAGTACACTGCCAGCCCCGGATGCCTAGTGGTTAAGTTGGGGCATGCTCTGCTTCAGGGGCCCGGGTTCAATTCCCAGGTGCAGAACTACACCATTCGTCTGTCAGAGGCCATGCTGTGGTGGTGGCTGACATACAAAAAGAGGAGGATTGGCAGTGGATGTTAGCTCAGGGCAAATCTTCCTCAGCAAAACAAAAAAGACATAGTAAATGATTCCATTGATATAAAATGGTATTCCATTGTATATAAATATACAAGCTAGTCTAAACTGACAGAAGCAGGTTAGTAGTTGCATGGGGAGCAGGATGAGGAAGGAAGGAAAGGATTATGAAGGGGCATGAGGAAACTATATATTCACTGTCTTGAATGTGGTTAGTGATGATAGTTACACAGGAATATACATATGCCAAAACTTCAAACTGTATACTTTAAATATATACAGTTTGTTGTAAGCCAATTATACCAAAATAAAGCTTAAAAAAATACACATGCTAATTGCGAATGTAAAAGACTGTATAAAAATCACCTTCAAATTTTTAAAGATTATTTGATAACGTAAAACCACCATAGAACATTCTAAGGCAGGAAATATATATGCTTATTTCATTACCTTACAACTTTTGGAGCCTGGGAATTTTCAGTTCCTTTAAAACAAACTTTTTTAACATGATCTCCTGAACTATGGCCAGTAATATATTTTTTTTCTTCTACTGAGAAATCCCGGAATGACTTGGATGAAACTGAATGTAGTGAAGATGCCCTATAAAAGACAACAAAGACCATGTTAAAACATCCATTTTGTTGCTGGAAGTCACAGGGCAAAATACAGAGAATGTATACAAAAATTTTAGAATGATATTATATAATTACAGTTTTCAATGTGATGTTGGATTCTTGCTGTCAATTGTGAATTAGTCTAAACTATGTGATTAAAAAAACAATCAATGGAGATCAACACTGGAAATAATCCAAATGTTGAAACTGGCAACAATGATATTAAAAACAGCTATTGTTTTTATGCCTCAAGTAACAACAACAATAAAATATGCTCAGAATAAATTAAAGAATAAGTTAAGCTCAGGAGAAGACAAGAAACTATGAAAAAGAAAAAAATAGAAATTCAAAACTTTTAATACAATATTTAAAAAACAAAATTCACTTGATGGATGTAACAGCAGACTGGAAAAGAGTCAGTAAACTTGAAGATAAATCAATAGAAATTTCTGAATCTGAAGAATAGAGGGAAAAGACTGAAAAAGATTTAAGTCAGCCATGGTGTGACTTACTAGATAATATCAAAAGGTCTACCATAAGTGTAATTGGAGTCCCAGAAGGAGAGGAGAGGCATATGACAGACAAAAATATTCAAAGAAACAATGGCAAACATTCCCCAAATGTGGTGGAAGACATAAATTTAAAGATTCAAGAATTTTTGCAAACCCCAAAGAAGATAAATACAAAACAATACCACATTGGCACATAATGGGCAAACTGCTAAAAAAGAAAGATTAAAAAAAACTTTGAAAGCAGTCCAGAAATATAACACAGTATGAAAACTCCTAGCTTATTGATAGAAACAAGGAAGGCCAAAAGACAGTGTAATGACATCTTTAATGTAGTAAAAAGGAGGAAAAAACTGTCAGTCCAGAATTCTATATCCATATGAGTGAGCTTGGACAAGTATCCTCTACAACTCAAGCTTTGAAATGACTACAGTCCTAGTGGAACCTTGATGGCAGTAATGTGGGAGACCTTGAACCAGAGAAACCCACCTAAGAAATAACCCAGCTAAGCTATACCCAGATTCCTGACCCAAAGGAACAGTGAGACAATAAACATTGGTTGTTTTAAGCCACTGTTTAGGGATAATTTGTTACAAAACAATAGATAACCTAATACGAGATACCAGAGGACTTAAAAGGATAATAAATATTATAAATAGCTCTATGTGAATAAATTTGACAATTTACATGAAATGAACTGATATCTTGAAAAAACAATTTACTAAAGATGATAAAAAATGAAACAGAAAAATCTATAGACCTATATTTATTTTAAAAACTGAATTAATCCCACCAGTTTTTTTATTATAGAAATTGACAAATTGATTCTAAAATTTATATGGGAATACAAAAAGCCTACGTTAGCCAAAGTATTCTTAAAAAAGAAAACAAAAGTTGGAAGAAGATAAAACAAGTAACAGTGAAAGACAGTACGGTACTGACATAAGGATTAACAGACCAAGGGAAGAGAAGAGAGAGCTCAGAAATAGATCCTCATGTATACTGGCATTTTACTTTCAACAACTGAATTTCCAAAGCATTTCAGTGAGAAAAGTGTTTTCTATAATAAACAAATGGTTTATAGAAGAAAAAAATAACCTTTATCTCACACCACATCCCAAAATTAATTCCAGATGGATCATAGATCTAATTTAAAAGTTAAGTATCCCAGAAGGAAACAGAAAACTATCTTCATAACCCGGTGCTAGGCACAGGTGTCTCAGGACATATACAACAATAACCATCAAATAAAGAAATGATATATTAGACTTAACCAAAATTTAAAACTTCTGTTCATCAGAAGACATTCTTAAGAAAACAGAGAAAACATTTGCAGAACATGTATCTGACAAAGGACTCGGTTGGATCCAGACTCTAAAAAGAATTCCTAGAACTCAAAAATAAAAAACATAAATAATAAAAGACAAAGCAATTTCAAAAAGCAAGCAAAAAGGATCTGAAAAGACATTCACAAAGGAAGATATGCTAATACTCAGTAGGCACATGAAAACGTGCTCATTATTCATCCAGAAACAAATTAAAACCATAATCAGAGACCACCACATGCACAGAAGAATGAGTAAAATTAACTGACAGTACCAAATGTTGGCAAGGATGTAAAACAACCAACACTCTCATACATTGTTGGGGGGAGAGGATAAAATGGTACAAATGCTGTGGGTAAAGGTCTGGCAGTTTCTTAAAAAGTAAATATACATCTTCTGTATAACTCAGCAATTCTACTCTGTAGTATTTACCCAAGAGAAGTTAAAATATATGTCTATAAAAAGCCCTAAATAAGAATGTTCATAACAGATGTAGTTATAATAGCCAAAAGGAAAAGAGTCTAGGTGGAAAGAGTCCAACTGTCTATCAACAGAAGTAAACACAAATTGTGGTACATATTCTTACCTTAGAATACTACTGAGTAGGAATAAACTACTTAGGAACACTTAGGAATAAACTACTGAGTAGGAATAAAAAATACTAATGGAAGGAATAAACTATTGGTATTCACAATCCAGATAAATGTGAAAAACATGTTGAGCGAAAGAAGCCAGACAGAAAAAAGTACATTATGTTTCATTCTAATTATATAAAGTTCTAAAACAGGCAAAACTAATCTATGGTCAAAAAAGGAAAATTCACAACAGTGATTGACATTGGAGTGAGATGGGGACAAAGATTAAAGAGAACTTTTTGAAGAAAACTTTCTGGGATAGTGATAATGCCCAGCAAATCATTAAAAAGATAATAAATAATGACTAGGTGGGGTTTATTCCAGGAATGAAAGGTTGGTCTACCACTCAAAAACTCAATCAATACAATTCATCACATTCACAGTATAAAGGACAAAAATCCTATGGAAAAGTCTTATGATCAAGTCAATAGATGCATCAAAAATATGAAGTATTTAGGGATAAATTTAACAAAGCATGGACGGGTGTGATTTATATACTGAAAAATACAAAACACTGCTGAGAGAAATTAAAGATCTAAAAGATCTTTATGCCATGTTCATGATTGGGAGACTCTCAATATTGATAAGCTGTCAATCCTCTTCAATTCATCTACAGAGTCAAAGCAACACCAAACAAATTATAGCAGGTTTTTTTTTTTTTTACAAGTCAAATCTAAGATTTATATAAACATGGAAAAAGCCTAAAATGCAAAAAACAATTTTGAATAAAAAAATAAAGTCAGAAATTATACTATCTGATTTCAATAACTATAAAAGCTATCATCATCAAGTCAGTATGGTACAGCATAAGCATACACATGGAGGACAAATGGAAGTGAGAAGAGTTTAGAATTAGACCCACGCATACATGGTCAACTGATTTCCAGCAAAAGTGCCAAGTAATAAAATGGGGAAAGAACAATCTTTTCAACAAACTGTGCTGGAACAACTAGGTATCTGTATGAGAAAAAAGAAGAAATTAAAACCTTGACCTCTTTCTTACCCTGAATATAAAAAGAAACCTGAATCACAAACCCAATCATAAAAGCTAAACTTATAAAACATCTAGATCAAAACAAAAGCAAAATTTTTGTAACCTTAGAGTAGTTGAAGACACAAAAAGCTCTAACTTTAAACGAAAACAAAAAATTGACGTAATGGATTTTATCAAAATTAAAAACTTCTGCTCCTCAAGACAATGTTAAGAAAATGAAAAGCCAAACTACAAAGGAAGAGAATATTCACAAAACATATATCCAACAAAGGTCTTATTTCCAGACTATAACTCTTACAATTCTACATTAAGAAAATAAACAGCCCAATAAAAAGGCAAAAGATCTGAAAAGACATTCCAAAGATATAAAAATGGCCAATAAGCCCCTGAGAAATGCAAAATAAGCCACATCTAATAGAATAGCTAAAATTAAAAACATTATCTAAACCAAGTGTAAAATGATAGGACCATTTTGGAAAACTGTTTGGTACTATTCTTATAAAGTCAAACGTTCACTTAACATATGACCCAGCAATTCCACTCCTAAGTATTTACTCAAGCGAAATAAAGACATATGTTTATTAAAAGACTTGTACATAAATCTTAACGTTTTTCATAGAAATAAACTGGAAAGAACCCAGTATTTCTCAACAATAAAAAAGGAAGAAATTAATGATACATGTAACAACATGGATTAAGCTCCAAAACTTTATGTTGAAGGAAGGAAGCCACACACAAAAGAAAGCATACTGTATTTACATGCCATTCATATGAAGTTATAGGAAAGACAAAAACTAAGCTACACTATTAGAAATTTCATCAATGATGGTGTGCGGCATGGGTGGAGGGTGGGGACTGATTGAGAAAAGGTGCTAGATAATGGAAATATTTTCTTTATCTTCATTGGGGTAGTGATTATGCAGGTATATACATTTGTCAAAACTCCAACTCTAGACTTAAAATTAGTGCATTTACTATATGTAAATTGTAACTTTATTAAGGTATTTCAAACAAACAGAACACACAGTAAAATCTGTACCCCTTCCCAAATGACTAAAATAAGATGAAAAATGCCAAGTTTTGGTAAGGAGGTGGAGAAAGTGCAACTCTCATATACTGCTGGAGAGAATGTTTAGTGGTAGCTACTAAAATGAATACATGCATAGCCTACAACCCAGTAATTCTATTCCTAGCTATAAATCCAAGAGACATGCAAATATATGTTCACCAAGAACATGAACTAGAATGTCCTAATCCTAAGAGTAAAACAGTGAAGCCATTCAAATGCCAACATGAACTGGATGATAACTGCGGTATATTTCTACAATGGAATATTAGTACTCTTTAAAATATGAATGAATTTCATAAATATAATGTTGAGCAAAAGAAGCCAGAAACATTGTATGATTCTACTTATATATACATTAAAAAAGGAAAAATTAGGGCCAGCCCCAGTGGCCAAGGGGTTAATAAGTTCAGCGTGCTCCGCTTCAGTGTCCTGGATTCAGTTCCTGGGTACAGAC